CCTCTGGTCACTGTTGGGGGGACATTTGTGTGTTTAATGCCCATCAGCGGCCCTCAAACCCAAATCCCTGTGTGTGGGGACCACCAATCCCCTCAGAGGGCATGGGCCTGGCTGTGTCCCTGTCACCAGTGTCACCCTGAGCCCTGGGGAACTCGGGGGGCTCACCAAAGTCCTTCATGCTGTCGGGGTCCGTGTCATCCAGGAAGAAGTAGCCGCACTTGACAGCCCGGTGCACCTCGAAGCACAGCCCCAGGCAGGCATCCTCCACCAGCTCCGTGTAGATCTCGTGTGCGATGGCCTGGGGACCCAGGGGGGGCTGTTAGGGATGGGGGAGGGACACATGGACACCCCAGGGGACAGACAGACCCCCCAGACAGGACAGCTCACCTCCAGTTTGCTGTTATCCAGGCCAGACAAAGACATATCCTCCATTTTCATTTGCAGCTGCTTGCGGAGAAGTCACGCCGAACGCTCATAGCACGGGACACGGGGGGCTGGGGGCACAGGGGGGTCTCACTGGCACCTCCACCCTCACCTGCAGACCCCTCCCCACCCCTTCCCAGCCAGAACCCCGCTGCACACCCTGGGATGTCCCCAGTGCTGGGGTTAAACCCTCCAGGAGTGAAGTGGGGGGATCTTGGGGGTCTCCCAGCTGGGCAGGACCCTCCCCAGCCTGGCATGGATCCCCCCCAGGTTAGTGGGGGACACTGGCTGACATGGGTGGGATGTCCCCCACTGTCCCCCCACCCCTCAGGCCAGCCTGGATGTGCCTGGCCTTCAGAGAGGTGTCAAACCCCCCAGGAGCCCCACCTCACCCCCCATTGTCTCAGGGCTGTAGGTGAGCACAGGGGACTCAGGGTGTCCCCAAACTGTCCCCAACCAGTGGGTTTTGCTGCATCACCCTCCCCTGCAGTACATGGAGGGGGGACAGGGCAGGGAGGGGAGCACTGTGTGTCCCCCCAAAATGGGGCCTGGCCTCTCTCCCCAACAATGGGAGTCTAAAGACCCCAAAGTCATGGTCAGACACCCCCAGCACCTATCGGGGCTGAGCAGTGGAACCCCTGATTGTCACTGGGGGAGCTGGGGGGACTCTGCACAGCCACTGGGGTGGGGGGGACACAAGAGGGGTCCACACCCCAATCCTGCTGATCCATGGATTTCTTCCTTCCACAACAGAAAGAGGAAACAGGGGCTGGAATTGGCTCAGGCCCCAGTGCACCCCCAAGCTGAGGCAGAAAAAGGAGAGGGAGAATGGGGGACTCCCATAGGGCTGGGGGAGCCAGGGAGGGTCCCAGGGGCTCTCAGGATCAGGGTAGGGAGTAGGGAATGAGGGGTCTCAGGGCCTGGGGGTCCAGGGGTGCTGCTGGGAGCTCTCAGGAGAGGAGGGTGGGGGGCACAGACAGGAAAGGGGGGTTAGGGGCGGCTCAGGGGGGTCTCTCGCCGGTCTGGGGGAGACAAGGGAAGGCCCGGAGGTCTCGGGAGTGGATGGAAAAACAGGAAAATGGGGTGGAAGGGAGATCTGAGGGCCGGGGGGTTCTCACATAGGGCTGGGGGGCCCAGTGAGGGTTGTGGGGACTCTCAGGAATCGGGGGGGGCAGGAAAGGGAGGAGAAGGGGATCTCAGGAGTTCCCCACAGGCCTGGCGGGGGCCGAGAGGGCCTTGGGGGCCCTCAGGTAGAGAGCGAGGGA